GGGGGGGGGGGGGGGGGGATGAGTCAAGTACGGATTCAATTCGGCACAATGTTTCGCGTAACTCGGTCCGCCGTGTTGTCCACCTGCTGTACCCCTCCCGCCCCAGTGGTTGTTGCCGTGTCCGTGTTGTTGCCGGGCTTCTTGTTTCGCTTGAGCACTCGTTGTCGGCTAGCCTCCTCTTCCTTCTTGTGCCAGGAGGCCATGAATCTCTTAGCTCCCTGCAGTACTCCTGTATGCCACGGTACCCCCCGGTCCACCTTACGTACCAATAATGGTTGCTCGATAATTGATGTTGCTGCTGTGTTTGCGCTTGCTTTCAGCTTGGCTCCGCGGCCCATCTAGCGGCCCCGCGAACCATCTCAAACGAATGGACACACACAGAGACAAGATTGATTCCAGAATAGACACAGATTATGTCACAAAACGTCAGACTTTGCAGACTCCAACCGCGGAACAGCGTGTGTGGCGGCTATTCTATGCGTGTCGCAGCAAGTTGGCTGCCGTAGACCAAACAATTAAGCACGCAGTTCCAGAGCCCAATCCCAAACGCAATACGGCACCAAGGGTAGACCCCTATCCGAAATCCAACAGATCATCTTCAAGCTGTGTACGTGCTTGGAGCCACGTGTGTATATCAAACTGTGTCGCCACACGTTTGCCTTTCCCCTTACGAGTGGTCCACATGTACCGTATAAAGCTGCACGTTTCCCCTCACAAACAATCAAAGTCGGGAACACGGCGAGCCAATGCGGTTGGCAAACAGGCAAGGGGGGCACACAAGACATCCAACGGCGACCTCTGCCTTGTACCAGGCGTCGTGAATGAGCTTTGCATGCTATGACCCACAATCACTATTTGCAAGTACCGTTCCACCTCACCACAACTTTTTCTCAGCTGACGTGGTTGAACGTGATGCAGTTTTGGGGTTATGAGCGAAGTCTCTTTCCCGGCCAGATCGTGCTAGAGCGATTATCCCCGCTTGGGTTCAACAGGCGCTTGGATCTGGTCCACCGGTTGACTCATTTCGTTAGTGTCGATCCGAGTTCTGGGGCTTTCCTGGACACAGATCAAACCATGTCCCAGTTGCTTGCCCATGTTCTTCCGCTTGCTGCTTGGGCATCAAATGGCGCCGTTTCACGTCACATCAGTACGCAGCACTTTCCAGCACTAGCGACAGAATTGGGGTTGGTTGCCCCCGAGTCTTGCTTCATCCAAGGCTGAGGGTTGACACAAGGAGAGCAGGGACATTTCGGGGCAAGCATTTTGAGGTTTTTGAGCCCGCGAGTAAAACCGGACAATGATTCCTGCTACCGATGCAGGAGACTAGAAAGGAACAAACAACGCGCGCAGGAGTCATGTTCCCACCCACCGATTGTGGGGCATAATTGGTGCGGCAGTGCTTCATGAATAAAATGGTGGAGTGCCTATCTTGACTCCCCTAGTCGCCATGATGGTTCCGTCACGTGTAGACTCTGGTCTTGGTGTATACTACGGGGGCTACCGTGCTGTACACAAATCTAGGTCCCGGTTTACTACTCACCCCTTCGTCCTTGGTTTCCTCTGCTCTAGCCTTTGCCTGAGCAGCCGCCAGCTCTTCGGCTTCTTTTCTGGCCTTTTCCTCCAGGAAAGCTCCTCTGTCTTCTTCGCTCATCTTTTTCAAGGCCTGTTTCAACGAGCATGCGCGCCGTTCAGAGGAGGACTGGCCGATGTTGAGGTTGCTCATCAGCGGGAGTGATCATAAAATTGAATGGATGCGAGCTGGTGTCGCTATCGGCTTGGCTGTTGGCCTACCATCGATTGGCCCGCTGAATGATGCAGACCTACCTCATGGGGGTAATCTGCTCGAAACAATGTTCCTCTACACTCGTCGAAGTAGGCAACAACTACGACAACGTTGAACACCCACGAAAGGTAATCGCATTGAGTACTTCGTTGATGCTGGTCGAATATCTAGAAAGACATGTACCTGTTCTTCTTCGAATTTCGCCATCGCTGCAGCCTGCTTTTCTAGTTGCTCTTGTTGCAAGACCGCCTGTTGCCTCAGACGCTCTGTTTCCTGTCCAGGCGCGACGGATCGACCATGGAAATGTCACTGCAAACCCTACGTTTCAAAGAAAGTTTTCTAGTTAATTCAGAGATCGTTTGGTCGGGACAAGAACAGTCTGACATACCTTTATTTTTTACGAAAAAGCAAGAAACCTGACCGCACTGTGTGCGTGTTAATTTTAGATATCATCTAGAGTCTTTCGAAGTCTCGTACATGGAATCGAAACGGGTTGGAGAAAAGTATTCGACTACAGTACCGTAGCTGCGCAACCAATAAACCTGGGCCAAGCGAATGCTCTTTGTTAGAGTGTACCGACAACCGCGTACTCAATGCATTCCACAATGCTTGGCCTCTTGCACGTCAGGCCTTAGACGAAAGCGGCGGGGCGGATCTTCGAAGTCCAGAACAGGTCCTCCGCCGGACGAACACCGCACTGGGCGCTCGCTTTAATCACCTCCGCGTCTCGTGTCTCCTGGTCATGTAGCATCTTTTTCTTTGCCGCCTCCATCTTTGCGAAGGCCTTTTGTTCCTTTTTCTGGGCATCCGACTCTCGCTGTTCTTGCTGTCGTCGCTCTTCGTCCTTGCATGATATGTTGGATGCGGGAGAAACAGAAAAATACATATTTTCGGTGCCAAGCGAATACGTCCTGTGCTATGACGGGGCGAGGTTACCATTTTTGCAAAAACTTACGGCGCAAGTCGATGGAGGGATGATTTGGAAAACTGTACTTAAATGGTATTGAACCACTGTGGAAAGGAAATTCGCCTAATTCGGGGTAGATTGCTCCAATTCCAGAAAGAAAAAAAACAGCGTGCTCTTCATTATTTGGCGAGGCCATATCTTCATGACGATAAACAAGCGTAGAGCTTTATGACGTGTAAGTGACTCGAACTTTTTTGCAGCCCATTGGTCACGATTTGGGCCTTGATTTCTCAACGGGGTTCGAGTCCAGGTGCTCCGAGCTTGTTTTTTTCCTTATTTTGTCTTGAATTTGGAGTACTCTTTCGCTATTTTTTTTCTTGTTTTTTTACCCTCTAGTCTCGTCGGACATGCCATGGGGATCATGGAAATATTTTCTGTTTTAATTAGTGGCTGTATTCAAAAGTTATGGAGGGTCAACCAAAGATTGATTCTTGGGCATTTCCACTGTGTGCATCTAGGTGGCTCTCCATATCCTGGACGACACCCTGACATGCAGACGTGGTTCAAAGCTGCGTGCTTCGCCCACTTCATCGGCGTAGTGGCGGCACAATTTGTGCAGAGCCGGTCTCGTGTAGCGATGAAACGAACGTGGACGAGCTGGCGGGTGAACCTTCGTATTTGTCGATACTGTTCGCCACTAACGCGTGTGCACGGCACAGCTGATTGGTTCTCGTGGTGAAGACCTTGCTAGACAAATCAAAGAGAAGGCAGTACCGCACGTTTGTCGATGCAACATGAAGCGTAGGCGCCCTGGTTCGGTGGGAAATCGTGTTGCAAAGGCAACGCTCTCTCTGAATTGTACTTCAGAAGCAAGCACCCGAAACCCACAGTCGGCAACGAATGATATCGCGCGCAAATTTCACACACGCCTCCGACGCAACATCCCGAGGAGGCACCAGCCCACACACCTTCTTTCGCTGCTCGAACCGACGCATATTTGCCTCCTGCTGCTTCAGCTGCTCTGCCCGCCGTTTCTCCTCCTCTTCTTCCCGTCGTTGGGCCTATGGTTTCAATTCAGGGAAAACGAGCCATCTCTGTGCCGTGCCCGAATGGCCAGTTGGTAACCTCATGAACCCTTCTGGTTCTACATTGTGGGTTCAAGTCTCTCGGGAAGCTACTAAAACTGACAAATTAGAAGCCGAAAGCGCAGGGAGGTGACTACACGCAACGAAGACAGCGAAGGGATTGCTGAAAATCTTCTCGTTGAAGGCAATCACGGCAGTGGGATAGGTGGGGACGTCGTCTAGTGTGCCCCCGTCAGGTGCGTCAATCATATAGCGTGAGGCGAAAACTGGCGCCCAGAACCGACGGTACCAAGAACCAAGAATGAATGAATTTTCAACCAAGGCAAAAGTTTCGTACGAAAGGGAGCAAAGCGCGGCGCTCAGCGAAGACATTGGAGGTGTGACAGCCAAGGAAAAATGGTCGCATGGAAGAGAATCAGCACATGCCAAGAAGATCGCCCCGCCGGTGGAATTCAGCTGAAGAAGTAGCTGTTCAGTGTGATGTCGGGGCTAAGTTTCCTGC